ATCATAGCAATAACAGACCAGAACCGACCGAGAACAGACTAAAAACAGACCAAGAAATGAAAAAATTGGTTTGTTCTTAGTCTGTTCTAGGTTTTTTTTCATTTCTAACCAATTTTTTTTTCTCTTTTATAAACTAAAAAGTTTAGTAATACCCAAAAAGTCCAAAAAATATGAAAAAATGTATGTTTTCTAATTTTTTATAAGAGTTTGTTCTTGGTCTGTTCTAGGTTTTCTCATTTCTAACCAAATTTTTTTTTTGTCTTTTATAAACTACAATGTTTATTAATACCCAAAAAGTCTAAAAAATATGAAAAAATGTATGTTTTCTAATTTTTTACAAGAGTCTGTTCTTGGTATGTTCTTCATCTGTTCTTAGTCTGTTCTAGGTTTTCTCATTTCTAACCAATTTTTTTTTTGTCTTTTATAAACTACAATGTTTATTAATACCCAAAAAGTCTAAAAAATATGAAAAAATGTATGTTTTCTAATTTTTTACAAGAGTCTGTTCTTGGTATGTTCTTCATCTGTTCTTAGTGAAAAAATGTATGTTTTCTAATTTTTTACAATTTTTTTTCTCTTTTATAAACTATAAAGTTTAGTAATACCCAAAAAGTCCAAAAAATATGAAAAAATATATGTTTTCTAATTTTTTACAAGAGTTTGTTCTAGGTTTTCTCATTTCTAACCAATTTTTGTTTTGTCTTTTATAAACTACAATGTTTATTAATACCTAAAAAGTCTAAAAAATATGAAAAAATGTATGTTTTCTAATTTTTTACAAGAGTCTGTTCTTGGTATGTTCTTGGTCTGTTATAGGTTTTCTCATTTCTAACTAATTTTTTTTTCTCTTTTATAGACTACAAAGTTTAGTAATACCCAAAAAGTCTAAAAAATATGAAAAAATGTATGTTTTCTAATTTTTTACAAGAGTCTGTTCTTGGTCTGTTCTTGGTCGGTTCTGGTCGGTTCTGGCTAGGTTGGTCGGTTCTTGTCTTTTTCTATATTAGTCGGTTCTGGTCGCCAGTGCCACCGCGCGCGCGCCCGTGCCACCCCGTGCGCGCTAGTGCCCCCCCGCGCATTTCCCCATAAATATAAGCTTTCCCAAAGCCAAAATAACATGTTGAATATGATAAATTATAAATGCATTACAATGCTAATAATAAACATATTGCAACACCAATAATGTTGTGTATCTATTTTACAACAACCAAAACAACTAACATTTCATATACTAGGACTCACAGGCCTCTTCAGCTTGTACTCGCTCCAAATTCCGACCGCAAGTTCCAACCGGTAAGCTTCTACTTTTTCTTCAGCGAGGTCTTCTAACGGGATTCTGCGGACAAGGTATTCGATAAATTTGTATGTGAAAAGTCCGCAGTCACCTGATTTAAGGTTGTGGACCAACCACTTGGGACGAACGATTGGTCACGCACATTCAAGTTTATCGCCTAGATGGTTGAATAAACCTGTGTACTTCAAGAACTTGAGCATCATGACAGCGATTGGCTCCACTTGTCTTTGCATCTGTTGATCTCTGTACATCATAACAGTTGAGTCATACACCTTTATGTTGAATTCAGATAAATCAACATAAAGCGCAACCCAATGCTTCCTCTCAATGTTAAGAGGCATAGTGAAGCCTTGTGCGCCATCCCATTTCTGGCCAATTATGCGCTTTTCTCCACAGATATATTCATCTAGGTCGTTGTCAAACGTATACGTTGCCAATTTCTTTTTGTTGGTGAAGAATCGCGCTCTCAACTTTTGGCAAAATATATCATCTAGGATGACAATATTGTTATTGAACTGCCATTCAAGTGCCCTTGACCTTCTAATCGATAGAAGACCCCATGCCTCGTCAATTTGCTATAAGTCATAAAAAATTAATTCAGTATAATGATAATGATATAAAAAATAAGACTATAAATTTAGAAAATATGTTGTGATTACTTACATCATTAAACAGCCATTCACTTGGCTTTAAGATGATCCGGAAGAAGTCCTTCCTCCAATCTCCAAAACCGCACTCAATCAGCTCAGAGTCCGTACTAGAATCAGCGAACCACTTGTTGAAGGCCTCGACAGCATCGTTGAAGGTCCACATCTTCTTCCTTACGTTACGCAGGGGATCTATGTAAGGTGACTCAATATACTTGCTGGGCCTCTTAAGTCGCTTTTCATTCTTCGATTCAGACTCTGGCTCTGAATGAACCTGTTGCTCAAGCTGATCCTCAGGCTCTGGCTGAACCTGAGGCTCAAGTTCTGCCTCAGGTTCAAGCTGAACCTGAGGTTCAAGTTCTGCCTCAGGCTCAAGCTAAACCTCTGGCTCAAGTTCTGCCTCAGGGTCTGGCTGAACCTGTAGCTCAAGTTCTTTCTCAGGCACTGGCTTTGGCTGTAATTGTTGTTTTGCTAGACATGCTATATTGTCCTTAATTTCTCTAATAGATACGTCTAGCGAGTCTAGCCTCTTGTTGATGGCTTCAAAATGTCTACTATTGTACTCTACCGTCCTGTGATAGAGTATGTCAACTATGTGATCAATAGACATACCATCTTGCTTGCTCGGTTGTTATTGTTGTTGTTGTTGTTGCTGCTCAGGTTGTTGTTGTTGTTGTTGCTGTTGCTGTTGCTGTTGTTGTTGCTGTTGTTGTTGGGGAAGTTGCTATTGTTGTTGGGGAAGTAGTTGGAGACGAGCCAATTGTTTCGGAGGCTTCGGTTGCTGGACATGGACCATTCTTGCACCAGAGTCCAAAAATGATGCAAGCTGGTCAATCTCAGGATCTTCTTGGTCGGCATAAGGCATATACAACCTCATGCACATACTATTCATTTCCTCCTCAGTGGGATAAAGAATTGGTACGGCCATTCCCTGTATATTAAAATAACATACATTCAATGATTATTTAGGTGGAAACATATTGTAAAAAAATAAATATGTCTATTTTGTAAAATTTACACCTATAAAAATATTGTATTTAAACCCTTACCTCGCCACTGTGCATGAGGTCATCTATCTGTCTAACCTCGACCAATGAAACCCGGCGTGCCTCCCATTTGAGGATTCTGGGATGACGTCCCTCAGCCATCTTTGCAAACGTGGCGCCAATGGTTGGAAATGTTTCGAATGCCCAAATCTGCGTTAAACCAATTTTTTTAAGTCTAGTAAACCAATTATGATATTATTTACTATAAGGCCATGAAAAATTATGCATATAACTGTATGACATACCTGGAAGGCCCAAGGAAACTCGCATATTGAGTAGGTTTTCTTGATGCTCTTATTACGTCCTTTCCGAACCTATTTCTGGAATTTCTCTTTCAAGTTCTTCTTCAAAGCCTGCAGAGTGCATTCAAAAGACACCCTGCCCTAGGGATAGCTGTTGAAGAATTCTAAATCGTCAACGTAAGACAGCCAATCCAATGGGACAGTCTTCTTCTCATCCACAGATAATAATACTTGTGCTAAAAAATAAATGATAGCGATATTTGCTTTATCGCTACCTTTTATCTTCTTCCCTGTGAGCAATTTTCTTAAATCAGCAACAAGTACTACGTGGGACTTAAAATGCTCCAATAATCTTCTATTCTTCGAAGCTTTCAAGATCACGTCCGGCTCTGGAGTTTCCCCGTAGTTCAATCTAGTAATTAATGCAAATTCCCTCATTCCAAACCTAGTTGTGGTTCCATTAACCATGAACCACAACTCATGTCTCTTTTTTGTTTCTATCCGCCTTAAAAGCAGATACTGTGTCAACACTCCAAAATAGATCATATTTTCAGACGTCAAAATAAAATGTCCGAAGGCAGACTCCTTGAAAATTGGCATTTCCGTTTCGGGGTCTAGATTCTGCCTGATTGCCTCCAAAGCCTCGATCTTTGACTTCATAGTCACTTTCATTGGGAAATACTACCGCATAGGATCCATGATCATCTTTAGATGTCCGATCCCAGGAAGTTCACCTGTGTTGTACTTTAGGAGGTCATACTGAAAAAGAAGAAAAAACACATCGGTCAGAACCGACCAAAACGACAGAACCGACTAGAATAGACCAAGAAACCAAACAAGAACCGACTGAACCGACCATGACCCGACTGAACCGACCTAAAATCCTGACAAGAACCGACCAAAACCGAACAAAACTGACCAAAACGACCTGAACCGACTCCGAATCGACCACCAATCGACCAAGAACCGACCTCACCTAGAACCGACCAGAACCGACCTTTCTCGACAAGAACCGACCACCAGAAACGACTTAAAACCGACCTAGAACCGACTGAGAACATACTAGAACCAAAACCGACTAAGAACCGACTATGAACAGACCAATGTTACTTATATTAAGTTTTTGTTCTTGCAAAAATATATAAGAAAAAGTAAAACAAGAATATTACCTGAGCAGATTCCGTTGCCTCGTCGACAACTGTTCGAGAAATGGCCGTTTTAGTTGAGGAAGAAGAGCTTGTTTTTTATGCCATTTCAGTCTAAAAGCCACCGGTTTTTAGTCAGATTTTGGTGAGCAGGTGGTCAGTTTTTGTGGTCGGGAATTTGGTGAGTGGTCGGGGTCGGTTTTTGGTCGGTTTTAGTGGGAAGGGAGTCGGTTTTTGATGAACAGTCGGTGTTTGGTGAGGTGCTCGGTCGGCCAAGACGAGAGAGAACGGAGAGAGAGAGAGAGAAACAGGTGAGAGGAAAGCCGGCGGTCAGTAGTGAGGTTGGTGACTGATCGGAGAGAAAAGCCGGTGGTCAGCGAGAGGTGATCGGAGAGAAAAACCGGTGGTCGGTCGTGAGAGAGCTCAGTCGAGGGAGAAAGGGTCGAGCGGTCGGTTTCGAGGGGAAGAGAGGGTCGAGCGGCAGTCAGTTTTGTGAGGAATGAGTTTTTGAAAATGACCTAGGACTAATAGGACCCATTTTTTACCACGTAAGATACACGTTATCATTTTTTTGTTATAAAAAAACTGGTCTATTTTCTCAAATTTTGATTTGCTCCGGTCTCTTTTATCAAATTTTCTCTTTTGGACCCTCCAGACGACCCATCCTCTCCTCCGCCGGCTTCCTCCATCGCATAAAAAATCCTAATTTCCTTCCTATCAGAGTTTCACCAGATTCGAATCAAAATCCAACAACAGAAAAACAGAAGTTGTAGAAATTTCGGAAGAAGAAGAAGATGGATCAAACCTTCTTACTGATGCTCTCGAACCTTCTCCACCTCCAAAACTCCCTCGACCCAACCACCTCCCTCCTCTCCGACACATCCTCCTCCTCCTCCGCCGCCTCCGCCGCCACCGCCTCCTCCGCCTCCGCCTCCTCCCCCTCTTCCCTCCTCACCTCCTCCTCCTCCGCCGCCCCTCTCCTCTTCTTCACCATCGCCTCCGTCCTCTCCTACATCGCCTCCTCCTCCAAACCCTCTTCCTCCAAATCCGCCGCCACCAAATCCTCATCCAAATCCTCCGCAGCCGCCGCCGTTGACTACTCCGTCTCCGCCTTCCGCGCCCTCTCCACCGAGCACATCTGGTCCCTCGAAGCCCCTCTCCGCGACGCCCAATGGCGGTCCCTCTACGGCCTCTCCTACCCCGTCTTCACCACCGTCGTCGACAAGCTCAAGCCCCACATCGCCCTCTCCAACCTCTCTCTCCCCTCCGACTACGCCGTCGCCATGGTCCTCTCCCGCCTCTCCCATGGCCTCTCCGCCAAAACCCTAGCCTCCCGCTACTCCCTCGAGCCCTACCTCGTCTCCAAGATCACCAACATGGTCACTCGCCTCTTGGCAACCAAACTCTACTCCGAGTTCATCAAGATACCCGTCGGCCGCCGCCGCCTTCTCGAGACGACTCAGGCGTTTGAAGAGCTTACTTCTCTTCCCAACATGTGTGGCGCCATTGATGGAAGTCCGATCAACCTCCACAAGTTTCCAAACGACGTCAAAATGCCCGCCAATTATAAGTGTCGATATGGGTTCAATTCGGTTCTCCTTCAGGTTGTGGCGGACCAGAAGAAGATCTTCTGGGATGTTTGCGTTAAGGCCCCCGGCGGGACTGACGACGCTGCGCATTTCCGGGACAGTATTCTTTACAACCGGCTTGTCTCCGGCGACGTCGTTTGGGACAAGGTGATCAACGTGAGGGGCAATCCAGTGAGGCCGTACATTGTTGGTGATTGGTGTTATCCCTTGATACCGTTCCTGATGACGCCATTTTCTGCGGACGGGGGCGGGACGCCCGCGCAGAACCTGTTCGATGGAATGCTTATGAAGGGGAGGTCCGTCGTGGTTGATGCCATCAGGCTGCTGAAAGGGAGGTGGAGGATTCTCCAGAACTTGAATGTGGGCCTCAATCACGCACCGCAGACTATAGTAGCGTGCTGCGTCTTGCACAATCTGTGTCAGATTGCAAAGGAGCCTGAGCCGGAGGTGTGGAAGGAGCCCGAGGAGCGCGGGAGTGTGCCGCGGTTGTCAGAGGGGGAGAAGTCATTTTATTACTTTGGTGAGAGCTTGAGGCAGGCCTTGGCTGATGACTTGCACCATAGGCTTTCTTCGAGATGATGATCTGGTGAAAAAGGCATGGCTTTTGGAGCTTTTGGTTTGATGTTAGAATGAATGTACTACTGTTTGTTTTTTTACTTATTGTTATTAGTAGGTATTACTATAAGTACATTTTGAGAAGTTTAACCTGCAATGTAGTTTATGTGACCAACTAACGTAGAAATGGTATCTAAGGATTGCCATCAATTGGAAAGAGT